CGATTTTTCTATGGTGTCTTAGATGATAAATTAGAATCATTCAATACTAAGTTCAGTGTTAGTAGTAGTGACGACGCAATACTCTTGCAAAATCACAAGGACAAAACCGAACCAGACAAGGTCAAAGACAACAAGAAGAAAAAAGAAGTCAAACATAAGAAAACCAAAATGAAAAAGATAACTAAAAATAAAAATAAAAATACAAAGAAAATATCTAAAGATAAACATAAAAAGAAACAAGTAAGGAAGGGCTAAGTTCGGATGTAACCGAACATTTTATACTCGCGCAAAGTCAAATCGTACACTCGTTTGTGGATTGACCGATATTTTCGGTAGAAGGTCAACTATAGGCACTGTGGTCCACATATTCAGTACCTAGGGGCTTGAACAGTTTTTTTCGATTTAGACAATTTTTGGCCACAAGGTGGCATACTTTAATCGCATTATTCACGCAAAGTTTTATCCCGATACAGTCATTGTTGCCTGATTTGCATAGTGGAAAGCGAAAGAATCAGATGGAATTTAAAATGGTGTTATATGGGAAGTAGGCGTGGTTGTAGTCCGATTTCGCCCATTTTAACTATAACATAGATATATGAAAAGAATGTCATGTACCGAATTTGGTTGAAATCGGTTAAACAGATCCCAAGATATGGGGTTTCACCTAAAAGTGGGCGGTGCCACGCCCACTGTCTAATTTTGAACGCGGTTCCTATAAAGCCATCTCATACCATCCCAGAGGTAAAATTTAATGTCTCTGGCGTGTTTAGTGCTTGATTTATCGTGCTTTTAGTAGTTTTTAACAGTACCGTTATATGGGGAGTGGGCGGAATTGTCACCCGATTTCACCCATTTTCACACTGTAGGTAGAGGTTCTAAAAACATCCAGTGAATTTTGTTATTATAGCAGTAGCGGTTTAGGAGATATGCACATTAAACCTATTAGGGGCGGGACAACGCCCACTTTAAAAAAAAATTTTAACTGCAGATGCCCCTCCCTATTATGATCCTGTATTATGGCAATTTATTTGTTTTTGAATAATGGCGTTTTGTCGGATTTCAACTCGTCTCTTCATCTTAATCATTTATATATGTATATATCTAACTCGATTAGTTTTAGGTGATACAAACAACCGTTAGGTGAACAAAACTATTATACTCTGTAGCAACAGGTTACGAGAGTATAAAAAGGAAAGACCAAATATAAAGATAAGACCAATAGCAAACAGAAAAAAGACAAACATAAACACAAAGCCAATGACAAGTATAGGAAAATAATAGATAAGGACAACCATAAGAAAAAGCCAGTAATTATAGAAGGACTTTTACATAACTATAATTCACTTAAAGGACGCAAAAAGAAAGGCAAAGACAAAAATATGGCTATGATGGGTGGCATGGCGATGATGGCAATGGTCGCGCAAATGTTTCTCGGCAAAGTGATCCTGATCGCGGGCGCAGCCTTCGTTATGGCGAAAATAGCACTGCTCGTTTCCGTGCTCGTGAGTAACACACACACTTCTATGTATACTAAATTTATATAAGCGGTTTTCATATCGGTCTTCTAAGCTTCTATAAAATTAAACATTTTCATGCAGCATTATTACTTAAACAAAGTATAACACTTTACAACCTACCTTCGTAAAAGAATTATATGTGCAAAATTTTCTTTCAGTGTATTTCGTGAATTTATAACGGTAAAATTTTTTTCCATATGCAGTATTCTCGGTCTGCATATTTTGTTTATGTATAACATTTATAATTCTCATTTGTAGTACTTTTAATTAACAACGACATTGCGATTTGTATAGTTCATAGAAAATAATTATATGTGCAAATTCATCTATTTGTGTTCTGTCAGCTTTACAGACAACATATAAATTTAGTTTTTAACTAAAGTGATAAAATTGGAAAAGAAGTAAGTTAAAGGTATTAAATCTAGTGCATAGGAATATAATTAATTACTTTTAATTTTAATTATATAGAAGGAATGCCACGTGGAACACAACTTTCGGACGGAGAGGGGTGTAGGATAGTTGGAATGCATGAAGTCGGCATAAAAATTGGTGCGTCAGTGAACCGACATCGTAACACGGTCGCAAATTTTTGGAAAAATCCTCAAAACTATGGTGTCATCAAGCGGACTGGTCGATTATCAGCAGTATATGGTAGGCCTATTTCCTATAAGCGCACCAAGAGACGCATTTATCACATAGGAACTAGCGAAGGCATGTGTTGCAGGCAGATAAAAATAGAATTAGGCTTACCAATCACTAGACAGAGTGTTCAGCAAATTAAGCATGAAATGGGACTTAACTTCCAAGCAAAAGTATCCCAGCCGCTAATGAAGAAACGACATTAAGATACCCATGTTTTATTTTGCAACAAATACCAATTTTGGGAGTATGAGTTTGAAAACGTAATTTTAAGTGATGAGAAAAAAATTAAATTGGATGGTTCGAAAATTGGATATTTCAGCAGAGCATTCATGTGGCTCGTTCTACAAAAGCATTTTTTCATTCCCAGAATATCCAACTATTGAATTGACCAGCTTTGAGTCCCGATCTTAACCCCCTAGAGCACCTTTGGGGTATACTTTCTGCTAAAGTATATGCACATGCCAAGCAGTTGAAAAGTGTCATCGTATTAGAAAAAATTGAGCTAACTTAGTATGGTCCATGTCACGAAGGCTGTGTATGGTAAAAGTACATAACGGTATTAGGTACTGGAAATATTTAAAATTTCAATGACTTGAAGTTAAGTTTATCATATACTTGCTATAATAATATTTTATATGAATTTGAAGGAGATCTCTATTTTGCAAATATAATTATTTTCTATGGAACTTAAGTATGCCAATATAATTTGAATTTCATTTTTGTTTACTACATCCTATGAAACCATGAATAAATATATATACTATAAAAATGTATAATGTGTTCTCGATACTTTAAATTGAAGTTGATGTATTGCACATATAATTCTTTTACGAAGGTAGTTATTTAACCAGTCCGATTAGAATTCTGCTCTTGGTATTACTTTTATTATTCGTTTCCTATGCTCGTAACTTTATGATTTATAATTTTGTTAATAAATTAATAAACTAATGAAATTCTGTATGAGTGAGGAGGGCCGTAAATTTAGTCCTATATATCCACCTCTTTCATTAATAAAAGTTCTCTCTTTAGTTTATATGTTACAGTAGAAGAGCTTTCATTAAATTTAAGAATAGGTAAAGAAGTCCTTTCGGATTTCAAGAATTTGTAGTATTTACTTTATATGGTATATTTCAAAGTCCATACCTTTAAGAACTGAAATGTGTCTTTAGAACTTTATTTGTTATAACTGTATTTCCCATTTATATTTCATGTAGTATTCTTATAACCGCACATTAGTATTTAGGTATTATTTTACCAAGTTAAAATATTTTATATGGCATTGTGTTTTATTAAGTTTTGAAGTATTTTGGGAATGATTTCAGACCAAACCTATTCATTTTTTTATTTATTCTCTGTGGCTTCTCGAAAAATGTTATTCTGCATAATTTGTTTCCAACAAGGTTCAGATCTAGAGTGCAAGTTGGCCGTTCGAGAAAGACAATATATGATATTGAAACCACTGCAAATGCTTATTTGAATTATGTTTTTATATAATATTTTAGAAACACCTGCATTGTCTTGTTAACAGACACATTTAATATCCATCTTTTCTTTAATGAAAGTTATAAGAACGTCGACTACATTACATTGTATAGGATAGAGTTCGTTTTTATGAAAGCAGTACAAATCTGAGGCTTTCCTGCTATGGGAAAGCCGCCTATACCATAATACTGTCTTTCCCAAAATACCATGAGTAATGTTAATAAAAACTCCACAATCTCAAAATGAAATTGACATTTTTTCACATCTGACAACAATAAAAACGTGAACAGTTACAGACAGAACCGAGTATAACGTTAATTTGTAACTGTGAAATGTCTTAAAAATCCATACATGGGAAAATAAATATACTTAGGTCTAATGGCAATGTATATCATTGCCGTTGAAATCTATACAAGATGCTAGAGTACTTTCGGGATATCACATTACACGAAGAGATACACGGGTCATTTGAATTATTTAACCTGTTACGGTTACAATTAATGTCACGTTCCCACGGCAGTCGGATCTACGTAACTGAAACGAACCCGGATTTTATCCGGCCAAGGACTGACAACTCGGCTAAATTCTGTCGCTACAACAACAACAATTGATGTCAATCACAACCAGTTAGAGAAAAAAAATATTGAGTTGCAGTATTGAGTATGAAGTCCCTTTAGACGTCCATTAAATAATCTGAAAGATAACTAACGCAACAAATGAAAGCTACTCGAAAACTATACATTTTTCAAAAGTTACAAAAATTGTTTAAATAAAAAAATTCAAGATTTAAACTTAACTAATCTTGCCAATATACACATAATTGCATACCTCTTTTTACAAAACACGTTTGCACAAACCACAATAATTAACCTCTGCTACAATAAATTAAATGTTTGCAGTTCATATTAAAATTAATAATTTAAGTTCACGGTCATTTGCATAAGCGTCATTGAAACTTGTTTTTTAGGGCAGTCTCAAAAAGGGATCGACTGGAAGTAGCGTTAGCACGGAGCGTATTGTTGTAACTGGCCAAGGACATGGTGATCACAGCGGATATGGGCACGATGAAGGATGGCATCGTCGCATGCCATATATTTATCCTGTAACCGAAATAATTAGTGAAAAGCATCAGCCTGTCAAAGCATACCATCACTCGCCGACGCCACCTCATCCTTCAAAACCGTCCGCTAGTCATCAAAAGCACCACTATTACGTCAATGAAATCAACGAAGCAGTTAATGAGGACACAGATGATGGTTATAGACGTAGACAGGCGCAAACTGGATTTCTTTAGAGTAATCATGACATACGAACATATAAGACAGTATGTAGCAATGTAAAAAATGAAAAGTCTTTAAATATGGGAAGCGAATGTTTTCTTTATTACGCCGTTAAGCTTACAGACTAGAGCTTACTTGGCTAAAAATACATACAACAAATCTAGATATATTAAGCATCAGGTTACACAAAGATATAAATACATATATATATATATAAATAACATCACTGTGCCTTACTAAACATGATTAATTTATCTAAGGGAAAATTTCAATTGTCAATTTCAATATTCCATATATTTTCCTACTTTTTGGTGATCAGCTTTGGTTTGACGTAAGATCGCTTAACTGCGACAACGACGACTTTTTCTAACAATGCCGCTTCGATGCAATTACCCGCTCTATATCTTGACGAAATTTGCCGTTCTTATGAATGCACTCGCGACGGCACCCAAGCGTTGTAAGCCTTATCCTGCATCATCATCTCGTCATCGATGCTACGATGGTAAGAGCCACTTTCATGACCAGCCTCGTACTCGCCCGCATGACTTGATGAATAGGTTTGGCTGTGTTGTACTTGTGGGTGTTTCACAATTTCATAAGTGGTCTTTTCCCCGCCCTCCGCCGACACCAACTTCTTGAGTCCAATTATTGCGCTAATTATAAGCGCAATTTTGCCAACGATCAGTGCCTTGCCCGCGACAATAGCAATGGAATGATATGCCATCTTCAGTATTGCCGTCTTTAACATTACAGCCGCAATAAAGGGACCCAAATACTTCTTATCGTCGCCCTTCTTTTTACGTCCTTCATTTACAGCATTATCCGCATCCAGGTCAGCGAAAGAAAATTTTTGGAAATAAGCCATTGCCATGCCAAAGAAATCTTGCCCATTACGCTGACCGAAATCAAGTACGCGCGGTAAATTCACCTGTAGCTGCCGACTATCAACGAAGCGCAAAAAACGCTCCAGTAAGAGCGCATCCAAGCTCTTCATCGACAGATTATATATATCGCGATTACTTAAAATTAAATCGGCGTTTGCGCTCGCCCGGCCTGTCCGTGTCTCATTTTCCACCTTCTTGACAATGGTGACACCCTCCAAGATATTTATGTTATGCACTTTCAACGCGCGACCCAACATGCGTGCTGCCTGCACCTTGAAGCACCAAAAGAGATCATCGCGATCACCACAAATGCCATAAATATGCTTTAATGTACGTGTGAGTCCATTATCGAGCAGTGTGCTGCGAGCGGCATTATGATTGCTGCTGTTGCCATTGCTGTTCTGAACGGGCAATTCCAGCAAAGTCGCTTCCTGACACAGAGCGATCAGTATGACTGCGATCAACAGCCTGAAATTCGCGTCCATGGCGATGAGGTTCAGTCTGATGCCTACGAGTAGCTGGTTGACTGCTTCAGGAGAGCAAATAAGTCCACTTATTACTGGCGTGTTGCGGTGACGGTGTCTACAACATATCCTTGCCGCAGCTATTGCAGTGAAAGGAGAAACGTCGAAACTTTACTGTTTCACTATATACCTATTTCATAAGTAGCTTCTTTAAAATGTAGCAAAGAATATCTAGTTCATAGCAGCCTTTCCAAACTTTCAGCAAAATGCAACTGATCAGCGCCGCCTGTGTGCCAATCAAATTTATACACTTTACCTTGCCACAATTAGTGTGGCGTTGCAATTGACTGCCAATGTAATTGCCGCTGCTATTGCTGGACCCACTTGCCAAGTCTGCCAAAGCCGTACAAACCATTTAACATTTTCCTTTGCAACCGATCTGCACACACGCGTCCGCTTGCCACGCTTTTGTTTTTTCTTCGCATGCGCCGGCTATTTAGAGCGTGTTGGATTCATAGTTGCTTACTTTTCTATTGCGGACCGTTCGCTTAGAGCGATTACCTTACAAGCATCGCTGCTGATTTGGTGCAACATTTTGCCGTTGCTGACTGCTATTGGCCACCAATTGGAAGTGATCGCCTAATTATTTATTATAAATGCGAATTTTTATTGTTATTACAATCGCAAGTAGCGATCGGTGAGTGCTTTAAATGTGGTCTCGGTTGGATATGTGGCTCTGAGTGTGCGCAACACTTTCATAGGCCAACTTTTTCCACCCACTTTCTTCTGTAGATTAATCGTTTGCATTCACTCACTGTACCGTATTGTACGTTCGAACCGAATCTTAAAAAAAACGTTCATTTCTCTACTTGTTTTTGGTGACGTTCGTGCTTTTGCTAAAATGTTTATCGACACGCAACACACATTATTGGGGTGCTTCAATACATACAAATTCACACACACACACAGTGAGAGAAATTCCCCGATTACCGTTCTCATGTGCATATACATATATGTAAATACAAATATACAAGTACGGATTTCCCTGCAAGAACAGTGACAGTCAGCTGACCGTTAATATGACCATCTCAGCAGAAAAAGCTTCTATAATTTTCTTAAAAGCCTTTTGCAAAAACTCATGTGTGAACGTGTGTGGTTTTGCATCTCTCTTTAACACATGTATATTCGGAATTAATTCACTATATATCTATACTGCTCACTCTCTCCCTTTTATTGAGTCACTGCTAATCATAAATCCATCAAAGCTAAAAATTGTCAGTTATGACTGTAAATCTATCACAAATGAAAAATTCTATTGCACAGTATATAATATAATATAATTTTTATATCTTTAATAAATTTAGAACTTTTAATTAAAATTAGTTATAATAATATGCATTAATATAAAAACGAATGCAACAAAAAATATAATTAAATAACAAATTATGAAAAAAAATGTTCACTTGATTCCACCTCCTCCTCTCAATAGCTCGTCGTCTTTCCCAAATTAGTGGATATTTCCAAATTTAGAAATGCCTAAATAAATAAGAAAATTAACTAAACATATAATATAGTTTTATTTGAAACTTATTTAACTACGTATATATATTATATTTGAAAACTCCTCTCTTTCATAAAAATGTATATTTTTAACACAAAACCCAAAGAGTTTTGACCAGAAGCGTGCAACACTTTTGGTTTATGGCAAGGAATAGCAGGTATTCCACAACTTCTCTAAACTCCTATGGAAATGTGTGCTCTCTCTTTTGTTTCGTACACAAAATTTTATTTTGGAAAAACCGTAAACTTTGACAATCATTTTACTGTTCATTTGACTATCAGTGGTGACAGTACTAAAGGATTCAGCTATTTCATTTTTACATATCTAAATTTATAGTAATCATTATAAGTCGTGAGTGTTTCTTTGTAGCAAAAAGATTGACGGTCAGTTGAAAGGTAAACTGTACATCACGACTGACATAAAGAATGTAAGTGCATTGGCGAATCCATCAGCAGTTTCTTGTAGAGTTAATAGCACTACCGGCCTTCATTAGTGAACAGCTCTTGATGTTCAGTCCATTGACGGAAATTAAGAAACAAGTAGGAACAATGAGCTCGAAAACAGCACAAAAGCTGGAGCGAAGCTTTATCTAGGTGCAAGAGCCAGCACTAGCAATGGAGTTGAAGCTAAGCCTAATTGCTGGAAGGCAATAACACCAGCGGTAGCCGAAACCAACCCTGGTAGCCATAGTATGGCTGCTAAGCATATGGGGAATGGAGACGCGAAAGATATCACTTAGCGAAGGCAAGGGCAAGGTATGCTTGAAAGAGATGTGCTGCCTACCTGCTGAGGAAAATGCAACTGTACCTGCCAACCAAGGAGGAGTTCACAAAAGAGCACGAAAGCAATCCTACTAAATTTTAAGCTTGAACCGCCAGCAAGGGCGTCGAAGCGATAGAGGTCAGCTAAAGAGGCCAAGACGACAGCTAAAAGAAGAAAAGATCGGTCAGTTTTATAAAGCCGCTATAGCCAAGTTAGGGTAGGTATATCCGGAAGTTAAATTGGTAACGGTGGACAGAAAGGACATCCCGACCTGGCCAAGGGTAAGGGATCTACCTACGGAGGTGGAAATATGTTAACGATTTCGAGACTCCGTAGCAGAATCTGGCGTGGAGACCAAAAGAGTGACGATGCAGATTCTGTTGTTGTTAACAAAGGAATCGATCCTACCGATGGCAAAAAGTGGCGAGGAGATCAATTACGGATTCGCGAAGGTGAAAATCACGACTTCCAAGTCGGACGCCGATGCTACGGGTGACATAGCCTCGGAAAACGAGATCTAAGTCGAGGAAGTCTTTAGGTCTACTGATGGATACCCATTTCCTACTTAGCTCTGGAAACCATACAGCAAAGTATACGCAAGACAGTAGAGTAGAGATAGATTCCACTCCTATAGATATAATCTCAGAAAGCAATGTATATTAGGTGAGAGGAAGCTTCAACCCCTTCAAATCGCCGGAACCAGACGGTTTATTCCCGGCTGAAGAACAGCAGTAGCACATCTTCATAATATGCTGGTTAGTAACCATTCCTAAAGGGATGCTGCAATTTATCTATATTTCTTCGTTATGGAAAAAAGCCAAAGTAATATTTATACCTCATGTATGTAACGTCCAAAAGAATTTTAGACCAATCTCCAGACTCTTCTCGTTCCTCTTAAAAACGTTAGAAAAACTAATTGAACAGACTGTTTCGCAGCAACCGTATTCTAAAGGAAAATCCACAGAAACAGCACTAAGCTCAATGGTAACAAAGATTAAAAAATCACTGAAGGTTAAAGTACAATAGAGATATATAGAAAGATATAGAAGGTGCTTTCAATAACATCCAACTTAAGGCCATACTGAGCGCTGAAAGATTTGGACAGCTCTGAACCTCTCAAAAAATTAATTAAACAGATGCTCCCGAGTGAGTCAATAATTTCAATTTCACGCTTGGAGCTTCAATGACGTGCACATCTCTCCAAAGAGGTATACCTCAAGGAAGATCATCTCTACTTCTCTGGAATCTAACAATGAATAAATTGCTATTAGATCTGAAAAAGGAAGGGTTATATGTTTTGGCCAACGCTGACAATGTGGTGGTTTCGGTTAGAGGTAAACTCACGAATACTCTCGCTAACCGTATAATGACATGAATCAGACTAAATTTAAATGCTAGCAAGGGTAGGTTTTGTTCACTAGTAAACACAGTGCTCCAGAAGTTATGGCGCAATTATTAAATTGTACCAGGCTAACAATTGGAGATACGGCAACCTACTTAGGACTAATTTTAGACAGGAAGCTTTCATGGAAACCAAACTAAGAAGCTACAGCACGTTACATCTGCAAAAGGATGACATTATGTCATAAGTATGGCGGTCAAATATAAAAGTGCAGCTAGTATTTGCATCAGTGCAGCTCTTAGAACAATACCAAGTCAGACACTAAGCATAATTTTACACTTACTGCCAACAAGCTTGTTCTGTAAGCAACTGGCAGCGAAATTAGCTTTAAGACTGAGAGAATCCTCCCACTTAGCCCCTTTTAATAAGGTGCATTCTAAAATACTTAATTCGTTCCCGTTTCTACCCACTAAAAGTAGGAATGTCTTGTTTTTTTGACAAGAAGGAGTATATATATATTTACGGATAGCCAAGCGATTTTGAAATCACTGAAATCTGCTAGGGTTTCGTCAAAGATAGTGAAATAATGTCTTGATCTCTTAGCGGATCTAACATCCTATTTCACGATAAACCTGCAATGGGTTCCAGGGCATTGTGATATCCCTGGTAGCTGTGAAGCAGATGAGGGCAGGCACCACCCTACAATCAGACTCCGAAAAAGGGAGACTTTGTATGCCTCTGGCTACGAGGGCATGAATAGAACATGAATGGAACATGGTCCGTACATGCCGACTATTTAAATTCAAAAGAAATGACATAAAAACACTATTAGGAGTGCTTACATGCTACATACTATAAAGAAAAAGAATAGCAACTATCGGACGACGGTTTGTGGATGAAGTTTCAGCGTTTGCACAAATAAAACTATTTGCTATTTATGATGAACTTCATCACAAGCACAGGGTGTTAAGAGAGAACAATAGTGTGAGAACATGTCCGGTGGTGCACAATGGACCTCTACAGACTTTGGTGTCCTCAGCAACCTCTCTACGTGCCTACCTACCTATGTTCCAATGTGAATATGGGCGGAATGGAGCTGTACGCCTACTTTTAATAGAACACAATTTTAAATTTAATCTGATTCTTTCACTCAGCGTTATAACGTTATCAAAATGCACAAATCTTGCCTTTGAGGTAGTCCATCTGACGTCTAAAATTGTCGAAATCTGACGCAAATTTTCAAGCACCATCATACCGCACAGATGGACCCCAGGGTTTTGGCTGACCTTTACCAACAATCTATCTCTGAGATATTAAATTTAAATTTACAGAACGTCTTTTCCTGAAATGATGTGTCATGGTACAAAAAGATTCAAATCGGGTCAATAATTTCTTAGCCCTCAGCAAGCAGAATATGGTCATGAAACTAAATGAGTATACGACCTATAATAAAGGGTGTTGTTTTGTCGTGTGATTTTCAAGAAAATCAAGCGCATATAATTTATATGTATAATGACATTTAACTTTATGTAAAGAGTTTACCATTATATTTTCAAATGATTTCGAGACAAGTGACCGCCGCGGCTGACTCGGATATATTCCAGCCGATAGGCTCAATTTTCGATCACCCTT